TGACATTAAAATATCTTTACATATTTCTAAAATGATTAAAATATAGAAGATTGGCAAATCCAAGCTTTGATGAAAGTGAAGGAAAACTCTGGGTCTCTTAGACATCCATTGGTGTGTCTGTAATATTTCTCATGTTTAATTTATCTTTCTCTTAGTCTTCATTTTAAAATATTATTTCTTAGTACAACAAAATCTATGCTTTTGTTCAATTAGCCAAGAATTTTTTTTTTCTCCATGGAAAGTTGAACGAGAAAAGTGGCTGTGAATGTTCTATTTAAGCACAGATAATAAAAAGACATCAAAATTGAGCTTGTGAAACATTTGGTTAGAATTAAGACAGTCAATAAACTGAAGTTAACTGAATGTCATTATACCGAAACCATCCTTAGAGTTTTGCCAACGAGATCAAAAAGATTTGCCAAATTGGTAGTCAAAGCTTTCTCAACAGATGTAGATAAGACAAGGGTGTCACTAATTTTTTTGCATGTGTAACTCATTTTTTTTCAACCAATGCCATTCCTGACACATCTCATTTTACCCAGGTACACATTGCCTTTGATAGAATGCTTCTCTCTAGTAGGTTCAGCATTACTCAGGGTATGGTTTGGTGAACAGTGGCATTGCAGCATGTAGGAATCCACATTCTTTTTGGCAGAGGCAGTTGTGCCCCAGGGCAGTAGACATGCACTCTCTATCAAGACTTTGGTGCTGGGAGAACTAGAAATCCATATGCAGCAAAATGACAATAAGTCCCTATCTTTTACCATGCACAAAGCTCAACTCAAAGTGGACAAGGACCTAGGAATTAGACCAGAGACCCTGTGCCTAATAGAGAAAAAAGTAGACCCAAATCTTCATCATGTTGGATTAGATTCCAATTTCCTTAACAAGACTCCAAAAACACAGAAATAAAATCAAGAATTAATAAATGGGATGGACTCAAACTACAAAGCTTCTTCTCAGCAAAAGAAACAATCAATGAGATGAAGAGAGAGCCTACATTTTTTGAGCAAATTTTTGCCACATGCATGTCAGATAGAGCACTAATCACCAAGATAAATAAAGAACTCAAAAAAAGCACAACTAAATACTAAAAAAAAAAAATAATAACCCAATCAATAAATGGGCTAAGGAGATGAACAGACATTTCTCAGAAGAAGATATACAATTGGTCAACAAATAGATGAAAAAATGTTCAACATCTCTAGTAATTAGAGAAATACAAGTCGAAACTACACTCATGCCAGTCAGAATGGCAGCTCTCGAATATACAGATAACAAAAAAAGGTTGGCGAGGATGTGGGGAGGGGGGAAGGGACACTCATACGTTGCTGGTGGGACTGTAAATTGGTGTAACCAATCTGGAAAGCAATATGGATATTTCTTAGAAAACTTGGAATGGAACCACATTTGACCCAGCTATCCCACTCCTGGGTATATACCCAAAGGACTTAAAATCAGCATTCTATAGTAACACAGCCACATCAATGTTTATAGCAGCTCAATTCACATAGCTAAACTGTGGAAGCAACATAGATGCCCTTCAATAGATGACCTGATAAAGAAATTGTGGCATATATGCACAATGGAGTATTACTCAGAGTTAAAAGAGAATAAAACTATGGCATTTGCAGGTAAATGGACGAAGTTGGAAAATATCATGCTAAGTGAAGTAAGCCAATCCCCAAAAACAAAGCCCAAATGTTCTCTCTGATAATTGGATGCTGATTCATAATGGTGGGGGGCACATAGGAAAAATGGAGGGACTTTGGGTAAAGGGGAGGAAAATCTAGGGAAACAACATGGCAGGAAAGATAGTGGAATGAGATGGACATCATTAACCTAGGTACATGTATGACTGCACATATGGTGCGATGCTACATTGTGTACAGCCATAGAAATGTAAAGTTGTGCTGCAATTGTATACAATGAATCAAAATGCATTCTGATGTCATATATACCTAATTAAAATTTAAAAAGAGAGAGAGAGAGAAAAACTCTTCCTTCAGTGCACAGGCAGACATTCAAATAAACTCTGCCTTTCATTTTCGGCACCATGTCCTTTTCTTTCTATCCCAGTATTTAACCTTAAATAGATCATTTCTATTTGTTCAAAGTACTGGCTGTTGCTGTTAGTTTTAAAAAAATATATGTGCATGTGTCCTTTCCACTAATTGATTTCCTTAGGGCTAAATGAAATTCTTATTCAAGGACCAAATGGATGTTTATCTTTTTTACTTCCCCTTTACAGATTTACAGTAGTTGTTTGTACTTTAAGAATCAAAGATCACAGCCTCTCTCCTTCCCTCAGATTTATTAAGACTATTCTATCGGGGACTCTCTTACATATTACTTTTTCCTAACATAACATCTAACTTAAATCAATATGTTTTGAGTCTAACAGAATTAGAAATAAGGACTAGGATTTAACTAGATTAAATTTCATTGTCTTGCATTGAAATATTTTTTCTATGTAAATGTTTTAGTCTTCCTCTTCTAAGAGGACTGAGAGCTTTCTTTTTGTCAGAACAAAATAGCGCCTAACTAACCATGGCTAATTTCATTTAAAAAAATAGTTTTAAAAGTATTTTAAAAACAAAGAAAAAATAAAAAATAAAAACAAGAACTTTTTTGACATAAAGTCAAAGGAGGAGGATGAGGAAAGGACCAGACTCTTGGTGGGGGTTTCTGGAGATCTGATCTGCTGGGGCTTCAGGGCTGGCCGGGGCTGTATCTCTACTAGGATTCTGTGTTATGGTGGATTTGGTGGCAGTGTTCTAGGGGACTGGGTTCCTATTCTATTTCTACTGCTGCTGCTGCATTGGAGCAGCCTGTCTCTGGCCCAGCTTCCAGGTAAGTGATGGTTTCATGTCATGGTTCTGCTACAGCAGCTATTGCTATGGCTGCTATGGCACACTTGGACCCTGGGCAAGAATTCCGCTAGCAAGCCTCTCTTGTACCCATTTTCTACACATAGAAAGAAGACCCAGGGAACTCAGAACCAGCAATTTAATAAGATTCAGCTATTGGCTACCTGTCAAGCAATTCCTAGGACTCTGGTAGTTTTTAAACCTGGATGTTGCTAATATTTACTTATTTTTTCAAAGTTAATTCTTCAGAATGTTTTGTTCATTTAAATATTAAATATATCCCTTTAGTATGCTACTTTTAAGTCCTTTGGGTATAGATCAAGGAGTGGGATAGCTGGATCAAAATGTGGTTCCATTCCCAGTTTTCTGAAGAGTCTTCATACTGCTTTCCATATTGGTTGCATCAATTTGCAGTCCCACGAGCAATGTATGAGTGTGCGTTTCCCCACTCCCCCCACATCCTTGCTAACACTTATTGTTGTTTGTATTCTTGATAGCTACCATTCTGACTGGAGTGATATGAAATCTTAAGAGCAGCTTTGATTTGTATTTCTATTGTTAGAGATGCTGAATATTGGGGAGGGAGAAAATGAGAGAGGGGATAGGGGTAGGAAAGAAGGTGGATTGAGGTGGACATCATTATCCTAAGTATGTGTATGAAGATATGAATGGTATCTCTCAACTTTGTGTATAACCAGAGATAAGAAAAATTGTTCTCATATGTGTAATATGAATTGTAATACATTCTGCTGTCATACATGACAAATTGGAATAAAAAGATATTTTGAAATAGAAAAATATATTAAACATTTAACTACTGAGTACTGTGTTAGTATGTTTTTTCTTTTCTGCTATAATTGTCCATATTTATGCCAATATTTATGGGAGACATATTTCATATGTCTTCTAAGCAAACATTATAATAATTATTCATAATTAAATGTCTTCTTAAGTAAGACCTACCTTGTATAATAGGTTCAATTAAGAGTTATACTTAGATGAATAAATATACAGCAAAGGACCATTTGGCATTGTTTATTAATATATCACATAAGCTTCATTTTGACCTCTAATAGAAATAATATTTTTGCTTTGATTTTAAAAATAAATAATTTAACTTCCTACATCATAAATATTACAGACTCTGAGCTGACCTAGGTAGTAAAAATATTTGCTTTGTAAATTTAACCAAGTTTGAGGACAAGTTTTACTGAGAGCACAAATGACCTCTCTAAGATTAAGGCAAATGTAATTTTCCTTTGAGATTTGCCAAAGCATTAAAATCAACTTTTAAAAAATGAAGTTTTCTAACTTTAAAATGCATATAGATATAATTGTCAGGTATAAGTAAACCACAATTGACATGGAAAAACTGGTATGTGTAGTTTGCCCAGGGTTGATAACCTGAGAAACAATTACTTCCTAATCATGATAAGTATAGAAAGTAAGGTAGCTTCCCTTTATAGAGAGCCAATAATGGAATAAATCAGATATTTATGTATATAGCATTTTGCATTCCTTAACATATGTGGGGTTTTGATAGCCTCCAATATTTTTTTCTTGAATTTTTTTTTTTTCTAAATAGGATGAAGTTGTTATCTTGGCACATAATGTTAAAAGAACACATCAGGCATATAGGGGTATGTAGTTTTGAAAATACAAAATATAAGGAATCATGTGACTGGCATCACTATGGGAAAGGGAATCTTAATAATACTTAAATACAATCATTTATTTTCATTTATTTTTGGAAAGGGCAAACCTAATGTGAACAGGCACTTTAAAAATATCTCAGCAAAGGCAATTAAACATTACTTTGACTGGAATTCCTAGGCAGCACCTTAATAGAACCTTATTTTTATATGTATCAGGAGTCTAATATAAGCCTGTTGTTTTCTTTTATTAGAGAAAGTACTTTTTTTAATGTTATAATAGTAACTTGGGATTCTGATTTCTATTGTATCGTGAGGGACAAGAATAAAAGTATGAATTATTTATTTTTCAAGCTTCAATTTCCCTAAAGACAGCACTTATCTTCCTAGCCTTCCAGATAAGCATTACTTTCTCTACCACAACAAACCTAGATTTTCTAATTTTTAATGTCATCTATGTGCTCTTATTATTGTTTAGGTCTCTTATTGCCCTGTAATTGGTTGTTCTAATCAGCAGTCCACAAGGTAAGCACTACATCTTCCCCAGTCTTTAAAAGTTTACCAAATTGTGTTTTGGGTGATAGTAATTTGGATGGATAGAATTAAGCTTAATACCTAGCAGTATGAATCAGATGAAAATTCTCTGCTCCATCTTTTCTCTCTCTTTTCTTTTTTCTCTAAACTCAATTTCCATTCAGACTCTACCTCATACTGGTAGGCAGAATGTTTTCAAAGAAATATTAAATATATATATATATATATAGTTTATTGATTTTCATCCAAGAGTGAATCTAAAAAAGGAAGGTAAACTTTTCTCTTCAGTTGAGATTCCATCCACATAAATAAATGACAAGAAGAAATATTCATAATTTCATGGTGTTGCCCTGTTTACAGAAATAATAAATGGCTGCCAACTCAATTGAGGTACAATGCACAAAGTAAATAGAACTTTATTTCTTCCTCTAAATTTAATGTATACCATCTACAGTCTACAAATACAGGGCATTCTTACAAAGAGAAACTGCATATACTATAGTCACTTACACATTTAGCATTATATTTTGAATTGGAGATTTAAGGTAAAAATGTTGTTAAAAGACAAAATACCCTAAAAAGTAAATTAAATGAATTAAGAAAACAGATAACTGCTTGCTTTTTTATTTCAAATCATAGCAAAACTATGCACCCCTCCAGTGACATCAAACTCTGGTAAAACTACTCTATCCTTTGATGATTACTACTTAAATACCAAGTACCAAACATCCCCAGCATATTGACAAGGTTGCCACTTGCTTCTCTGCTGAACAGCACCTACTGCCTTTATATAATCCATCTCAGCACTGAAGAACAAACTGTGAGAAGTCAAGTCAATATTTTGTCATTTCAATATTATTACGTTTGCCCACAAAATCCTCCACAGATGGAGATAAAAGCTCTACGACAAGCAAAAAAGGCATTTTTTTCCTTTGCACAAAATATTGATGAAGTGCATTATTGAGGGGAAGATCTCATTAATTATCTGATTTCAGAAAAAAAGAAGGCCAAGAGAAGTGAGTGCCTGGCTAATACCATGATGTACCATCTTAAGACTTAAGATCTTTTTTAATGTATTCATCAGGAGTGCATCTAAAAGGGGAAAGAGTGAGCTGAATGGGTCCATTAATTTAATTGAAGCAAGCTCAGACAAGAGATAAAACATCCCAGCCTGCTTCTTTTCATGCATCATGAGTGCTGTAGTAAACAGGCAGAGATCCAAACACCAAAAAGAAATAAAGGTACATGGAGACTCTAGAGACTTCAAGGCCATGGGATCTCCACAGATGCAGCAGTGAATTCACCCTCAAGAGGCCCTCTCTCCGTGCACCACCACGTCAGCACTCTGAGGGCACTGCTTTATTGGAAAATGAACAACTCAGAGGTTACATGTAAGTAACTTAGACTTCCAAAGGGAAAAGTGTGTTTATTCTTTAATTATCCATCCCCCCACCCAATTTTCTGAAAAATAACTCCGTCTTCTGCTCTTGAAAGACAGAAATGGAAAAGAAAAAATGCACTTCCACTGATCTTGGAAGCAACTTTAATTGATGCTGTTCTCTTTCAGCTATTTGATTTTGAAATGTAGCATTCAGAAAATTCTTTTAGTCCTGAAGAGATTGGGATCTCTTTGTGCATTGTACCTTCATCTTTGGCATGATTTTATAATTCAATCCCTTGCTGTGCACAAGAAAAAAAATCTACCATGAGGAGTCTCCTAACTCAGCACAAAGCCTGTCCATTGCATTATCTGAAAAAAAATTAAGTTATCTTATATTATTTTATATTATCTGAAAAAAACAAAGCAATTAGTGTGATCAATCAAAATTAATTCAGATATTATAAAGTTCTTAAATACCTGCACTTACAGGTAAAACCACCATGTATACATTATTGAACATAATATTGAACTAAAATTATTATATAAAAATAACTACTAAATTATTAATCCATTATTAAATTATTGGACAAAATATATAGACTTTCATAAAAACATGAGAAAACTTAGTACTGCCAAATTATTTCCCATGTGAGAAAAGAAGTTAACAATTGTTAGATGAAAGAAGCAACTTTTAGTCAAATCACTTTAAGTCCAGTATCCTAATTTTTTTAAATATACATATTTATTTAGTTCTTGATGAACCCTTATTTTATTAATTTATTTATATGTGGTGCTGAGAATCGCACCCAGTGCCTCACAAATGCTAGGCATGTGCTCTACTACTGAACTACAACCCCAGCCCCAGTATTCCAATTTCAATTGTAATAATAAACATGGTGAATGAAATGCTTCTGTATCTTGGTATGTAAATTTAAAAATGGTTAAAAAATACAGGTGTTTTCACAATAACAACTTGCATTTTCAGACATATAGATCAAGACCAAATCTTTGTTGTCAATTGTTAGAGTCCGTAAACAAGTCAGGATGGCGCCTGGCAAAATGCCAGAGGGAGTGGTTTGTGAAGTAATGCCATGGAGCCATTAAGTGTGGAGATTCCTTATTGGTTGACTGCTGTATCTAGTTTATGCTAATTAAGATAAGCTGTGTGGAATGTATAAATATCTCTCCTGTCCTACAATAAATGGCTCCCACTCCTGCTGTATCAGTGTACACAAGTTGTTCGTCACCCCCTGGCTATTTTGCCCAGCCAGGCTGTGGCAGTCAATGTCTCACTATAAACACTAGCTGCACTTAAAAATTCATTTTAAAGAAGAAAACATCATAGTATAGTGATTAAAGTATTCATTTTTTCATATTATTCCATTTACAGTACATATGAGGAATTTCAGGTTTTCTTCTGTTTCCATTAATTCTTCAAATGAAAATGGTATTTCCTCTCCTATATATGTATAATTTTTATTGTTTTAATAAATAATTCACCAGTAGTACCTATTTTATTCAAATAAAATTTTATGGGGATCTGTATTAATAAAGTAATTGAAAACAATATTTATCAGCAATACATCTTCATTTCACAAGTTCAATAATGTCTCTAACGATTTATAATGTGTTATAACTTTGTATATTTAAGTCATCAAAAATGGGGGAGGGTAGAAGAGACTAATAGCATGCCTTTTTAGGTGCCCTTAAGTAATGCCCTTAAGCACTCTCTTCTATAAAAGTTAAGAGTCAAACAACACACATACATTATTGAGGCACATGTACAGAACAAGACAAAACTAAACTTCTAGATTATGCTGTGGGAACCAGCAGCTTCCTTAGCCCTCTCTCAACCACTGAATGAGCCTGTATCAATTTGTATAAACTCTTCATTTACAAAATGTATTATACTGTCATGTATAACTAATTAGAACAAATTTTTAATTTTTTTTAATTTAATCAAATTAGTCACTTTATCCCAGTGCAAGATTACCTTCTTCCCTCTACCATACCTTGAGCTGCTGAAAATTAAAAAGCAGAGAGGAGTGGACTCACCTGTAACTTGGCAAGTATTAAGCATTTTCCCCATATTGCATTTAAATTTAAATACAACCATAAGTAGTTTAAGCCTTTTGACTCATAAGACTGAGTGATTCAATTTGATTTTGTAAAATGTAATAATTAACTTGGAGCTTAGATTTAAATTATTAATAAAGATCCTCTGTTATATGATTACTAGACAAAATTGAATCATCCCATCAAATGTTTACTCATTCAAAATTATTTAAGCAAATATTATATGGCTACTATTCAGTGGACACTATATTAAAAATAAATTTATGCGTCAGATTTATGATGGCACCTTTTAAAACAGTATTATAAATATATAAAATTATGACTGCTTTAAGACTGGCACACAGACTATGAATGATATTTATTATTTTTAGTCAATTTAGTTTTCTCGAAACATAGTAATTTGTTTAATACTTTAGTTTGGAAAAATTTTATTAGATAATTAATATTATCATCATAATCATCAGAAATAATAAAAATATAAGAAAATATAAATTTAATTTTATGCCTAAATGTATCATGTTAGACATTGTACAAAAATAATAAAATGTTAACTGTTACAAAGGAGTAAAAAAAGTCTTTAGTTTTTCTGTTGTTGATGTTCTAAGGATTGATCTAAGGGGTGGGATACCTTATCACTGAGCTATATCCCCCATCCTTTTTATTTTTTTATTTTGAGACAGTGTCTCACCAAGTTGCCATATTCACCTCAAAATTGTGATACCCCTGTCTTAGCCTCCTGGTTAAAAACCAACACCTGGTTAAAAAAAAAAAAAAAAAAAAGCTTTCAAATCAGTAAATCTGGGGTAGAATGTGACCAAATTATTTAATATCTGTGTATCTCAATTTCCTCATAGGAATTATGTTATTTACAATATTATTCTAATATAATAAAATATTGTTATTAACATACAATGTTATGGTTAATTATTAAGCAGGATGAAATGTGTAAACATCCCAAGTAAATATTGTTATTATCATTATTACATCAAAGATTAGAAAATATGGTCAATATCAGACTATCTGAACAAAATATACTTTTTATTGATAGCATGATTTTTCAAAATAATCTTAATTCTTCTTGTATGCAATTTATTTCATAAGTTACGTTGGGAGATCCAAATAAATTTTAAAAAATGTCTAGCTAGAAAACAAATAGTTGTAAAACATTAGTTCTTTCATTTTTTTTACCACCAATTAATTCTAACTTTTATTCTTTTTTCCCTTTAATCACAGTATATTCACCACTGTTCAAATAAGTAAAATTTAAATGAAAATATTATTAGAAGTAATAAAAGAGTTATACATTTTCCTAATTTCTATGATGGTTATTTTTATTACCAGCCCCATGGGTATGGCATATATGTGGTATTTCTTTCTAGACTAGAAGTTCTTGGTCCATCATGAACTGAATTATACATTGCCAAATATTTCCTTTCTATTTCCTTGCCCTACATTCATCCTAATGAGCACTTTTCTTTTTTTTTGTAACCTGAATATCAGATGAGGTCAGCATTTCTTTCAAGATAGAAAAGAA